GGATTAATGTTGTAACTGGTTGTATGGCATGGTGCCTTAAGACAAATTGCTGAAACTTCCCGTACCGTGAATTAAATTTTTTAAAAAATATTTAAATTTTTTTGAAAACATTGAAAAAGAAATTTCTGAGAATTTTAAAATTTCTGAAAAAATTTGACTTTTTTGAAAAATTTGATTTATTTTTTATATTTCGAAATTTTTTTATATGTATAAAAATATAGTAGCGCGTAAGCACCGCATCCCAGTCTAACGGATCAACATTGATACGGAACCCACAAAAATGCCAACAAAATTCATACTTATTAAAACCTCTATAAAATAACTGATAATTTGATATGCATTTGTCTAATGATCATTTTTGATTGTCAAATGACATTTTTTTTAGTTTTTTCACTCGATCTCTGAAACCACTAGACCTGTCTTCGCAAAAATTATTATACTATATATAAAAATGTTCATTTTCGATTTTTCTGCAATTAGTATAACTTACCCTACGGGGAATTAAAAATCAAATTTGCTTAATTTAAAAAAGTCTAAGTTAGTGAAGTGTATTTTCGAAAATAACATATGATCAATTTGATAATGTATTAAAAATAATTATAAAGCCGCTATTTATTACTTAAGTTTTGAAACTAATCTCATTAATATATTTATCTCAGCGAAGTCCATTTTAAATTCATTTTCTTGCTCGATATATTAAGTTGAGCATAGGACGATCAGTTACTAGTATCACAAATAACAAATATATGTTACGCAGTTAAAAGATACCATTTAAAAATACAATAAAAAACAGTTTGTTCACAAATATTTTTTTCAAATTACAATTGCGGACTTTTAGTAAGATTTTTAACTCGATTATATGCAACAATCATCTTTTACCATGCTTTTATATTATATCTTATATTTTTTAATCTATACGTTTTTTTGCATTTGAGATTTCTATAAAACCCTGTTCAATTTTCTTCATGATTAACTTGAAAAAATTACATTTGGCTTGCTTGTTTTCTTTTTTTTTAATTTCATGAAATCAAATTCGTCTTTGGAATTTTGTATTCAGCAATTTTCTCATTCATAGCGTTTTACAAGAGAGAAAAAATACATAGATTCACATAATTAATTTGATAAGTAGTTGTAATTTAATTTTAATTAAGAAAAAAGAAATTTTAATTAAGAGAATTTTAATTAAGATTTAAACCTATACTTTTCAATAATCCGGGACAAATAATGATTTTGAAAAAACCCGGATCAAAAGATGGAAACCCGGAACTGTCCCGGATAAACCATAATATAGGGGGTCCATGACAAAACGAAAAATATCGCAAGGGGTCCACGGCACAAACAAGTTTGGGAACCTATGCTCTAGACCAACTAGCCACGGGTTCTATCCAGTGCGTGTTTGTGTTGCATCCAATGTACAACATTATAGTAAATAACATATTCTCGATCCAACATACATTATCGTAGTAAATAATATGCGCTCGTATTTAAAGAAATGTCCGGGCTCGTCAGGGATTTGAACCCGAAACCTCCCGCGCCCTAAGCGGAAATCATACCCCTAGTCCAACGAACCACGCGGTACAGTCAATAAACACATTTTACACATGATTTGCCACTTACATTAATTATCTAAGCCAAAATCATACCCCTAGACCAACTAGCCACGGGTTCTATCCAGTGCGTGTTTGTGTTGCATCCAATGTACAACATTGTAGTAAATAATATGTTCTCGATCCAATATACATTATTGTAGTAAATAATATGTAGACCAACGAGCCGCCGGTTTCACCCAGTGCGTGTTTGTGTTGGATACACTGTACAACATTGTAGTGAATAATATATTTTCGATCCAATATACAATATTGTAGTAAATAATATGTGCTCGAATTTAAAGAAATGTCCGGGCTCGTGTAAACTACATATATAATGAATAATATAGTCATCAAATACTATTGGGTATAAACAATATGCATTGAATATTCCAGAGTATAAATAATAACTACTTTACGCCCCCGGGTGGGCTCGAGCCACCAACCTTTCGGTTAACAGCCGAACGCGCTAGTCAATTGCGCCACGGAGGCTCTTATCGCTTCTTGATAATAGTAGGAGTAAATTATATATAGCATAAACAATAATTATAATTATTGAACAATAATGGGTATAAACAACAATTATTCTTGTACCCATTGAACTACACTAATCTGTAATCCACGGCGCAACCAGTGCCCAATACCTGTCCATACATCGAGCCCGATTCACTTCACACACAAATAGTTAACATTTACTTTCGGTTTGAGGGACAGCTTCTGAAACGCTGTACCCTCATGTAATAAATAATATGCGCTCGAATTGAAAGAAATGCCCGCGCTCGTCCAGAATAATACCCCTAGACCAACAAACCACATGTTCTACCCAGTGCGTGTTTGTGTTGCATCCAATGTTCAACATTGTAGTAAATAATATGTGCCCGAATTTAAAGAAAAGTCCGGGCTCGTCCGGGACTTGAACCCGGGACCTCCCGCACCCTAAGCGGAAATCATACCCCTAGACCAACGAGCCACACGGTATACTCAATAAACACATTTTACACATGAGTTGCCACTTACGTTTATTATCTAAGCCAAAATCATACCTCTAGACCAACTAGCCACGGGTTCTATCCAGTGCGTGTTTGTGTTGCATCCAATGTACAACATTATAGTAAATAACATATTCTCGATCCAATATACATTATTGTAGTAAATAATATGCGCTCGTATTTAAAGAAATGTCCGGGCTCGTCCGGGTTTTGAACCCAAAACCTCAGGCACCTTAAGCGGAAATCATACCCCTAGACCAACGAACCACGCGGTATAGTCAATAAACACATTTTACACATGATTTGCCACTTACATTTATTATCTAAGCCAAAATCATACCCCTAGACCAACTAGCCACGGGTTCTATCCAGTGCGTGTTTGTGTTGCATCCAATGTACAACATTGTTGTAAATAATATGTTCTCGATCCAATATACATTATTGTAGTAAATAATATGTAGACCAACGAGCCGCCGGTTTCACCCAGTGCGTGTTTGTGTTGGATACACTGTACAACATTGTAGTGAATAATATATTTTCGATCCAATATACAATATTGTAGTAAATAATATGTACTCGAATTTAAAGAAATCCGGGACCTCCCGCACCCTAAGCGGAAATCATACCCCAAGACCAGCGAGCCACGCGGTCTACTCAATAAACTCTATACCAACGAGCCACGGGTTATACCCAGTGCGTGTTTGTGTTGGATCCAATGTACAACATTGTAGTAAATAATAGGCACTCGAATTTAAAGAAATGTCAGGGCTCGTTCGGGAATTAAACCCCGGACCTCCCGCACCCGAAGCGGGAATTATACCCTTAGACCAACGAGCCACGGGTTGTACCCACTGCGTATTTGTGTTGCATCCAATGTACAACATGCCACGGGTTCTACTCAATAAACACATTTTATACATGATTTGCCACTTACGTTTAATATCTAAGCCGAAATCATAACCCTAGACCAACAAGCCACGGGTTTTATCCAGTGTATGTTTGGGTTTATGTACTCGAATTTAAAGAAATGTTCGGGCTCAAAGCGGGAATCATACACTGCGTATTTGTGTTGCATCCAATGTACAACATGCCACGCGTTCTACTTAATAAACACATTTTACACATGATTTGCCACTTACGTTTAATATCTAAGCGGAAATCATAACCCTAGACCAACAAGTCACGAGTTTTATCCAGTGCATGTTTGTGTTGGAACCAATGTACAACATTGTTGTAAATAATATGTTTTCGATCCAATATACAATACTGTAGTAAATAATATGTGCTCGAATTTAAAGAAATGTCCGGGCTCGTGTAAACTACATATATGATGAATAATATAATCATCAAATACTATTGGGTATAAACAATATGCATTGAATATTCCAGAGTATAAATAATAACTACTTTACGCCCCCGGGTGGGCTCGAACCACAAACCTTTCGGTTAACAGCCGAACGCGCTAGCCAATTGCGCCACGGAGGCTCTTATCGCTTCTTGATAATAGTAGGAGTAAATTATATATAGCATAAACAATAATTATAATTATTGAACAATAATGGGTATAAACAACAATTATTCTTGTACCCATTAAACTACACTAATCTGTAACCCACGGCGCAACCAGTGCCCAATACCTGTCCATACATCGAGCCCGATTCACTTCACACACAAATAGTTAACATTTACTTTCGGTTTGAGGGACAGCTTCTGAAACGCTGTACCCTCATGTAATAAATAATATGCGCTCGAATTGAAAGAAATGCCTGCGCTCGTCCAGAATAATATCCCTAGACCAACAAACCACATGTTCTACCCAGTGCGTGTTTGTGTTGCATCCAATGTTCAACATTGTAGTAAATAATATGTGCCCGAATTTAAAGAAAAGTCCGGGCTCGTCCGGGATTTGAACCCGGGACCTCCCGCACCCTAAGCGGAAATGATACCCCTGGACCAACGAGCCACGCGGTATAGTCAATAAACACATTTTACACATGATTTGTCACTTACATTTATTATCTAAACCAAAATCATACCCCTAGACCAACTAGCCACGGGTTCTATCCAGTGCGTGTTTGTGTTGCATCCAATGTACAACATTATAGTAAATAACATATTCTCGATCCAATATACATTATTGTAGTAAATAATATGCGCTCGTATTTAAAGAAATGTCCGGGCTCGTCCGGGATTTGAACCCGAAATCTCCCGCGCCCTAAGCGGAAATCATATCCCTAGACCAACGAGCCACGCGGTATAGTCAATAAACACATTTTACACATGATTTGCCACTTACATTTATTATCTAAGCCAAAATCATACCCCTAGACCAACTAGCCACGGGTTCTATCCAGTGCGTGTTTGTGTTGGATCCAATGTACAACATTGTAGTAAATAATAGGCACTCGAATTCAAAGAAATGTCAGGGCTCACCCGGGATTTGAACCCGGGACCTCCCGCACCCAAAGCTGGAATAATACCCCTACACCAACGAGCCACGAGTTGTACCCACTGCGTATTTGTGTTGCATCCAATGTACAACATGTTACGGGTTCTACTCAATAAACACATTTTACACATGATTTGCCACTTACGTTTAATATGTAAGCCGAAATTATAACCCTAGACCAACAAGCCACGGGTTTTATCCAGTGTATGTTTGTGTTGGAACCAATGTACAACATTGTTGTAAATAATATGTTCTCGATCCAATATACAATACTGTAGTAAATAATATGTGCTCGAATTTAAAGAAATGTCCGGGCTCGTGTAAACTATATATATGATGAATAATATAATCATGAAATACTATTGGGTATAAACAATATGCATTGAATATTCCAGAGTATAAATAATAACTAATTTACGCCACCGGGTGGGCTCGAACCACCAACCTTTCGGTTAACAGCCGAACGCGCTAGCCAATTGCGCCACGGAAGCTCTTATCGCTTCTTGATAATAGAATAGAAGGAGTAAATTATATATAGCATGAACAATAATTATAATTATTGAACAATAATGGGTATAAACAACAATTATTCTTATACCCAATAAACTACACTAATCTGTAACCCACGGCGCAACCAGTGCCCAATACCTATCCATACATCAGGCCCGATTCACTTCACACACAAATAGTTAACATTTACATCACTCCTATAAACTATACAAACTATACAAAGTCTACTTTCGGTTTGAGTGACAGCTTCTGAAACGCTGTACCCCCTTGTAATAAAGAATATGCTTTTGAATTGAAAGAAATGTCCGCGCTCGTCCAGGATTTGAACCCGGGACCCCCCCTAGACCAACCAATTTAATTTCTAATTTATTATTATTGTTTGTACATTCGCGGTCTTTCTACAACCTTACCGTGACGTCGCGATCCTGTAAGAGACTAGTTACTTTAAATATTACTAATGAGAAGGCGTTTGTTTGTTACTTAATTAACTAACCTATATTTACATTTAATAATTACTTATCCTAAAACATTGCTTATTCTAACATGGAACTTATATCTACACTAATCTGTAACCCATGTTGCATCCAATGTACAACATTGTAGTAAATAATATGCGCTCGAATTGAAAGAAATGCCCGCGCTCGTCCAGGATTTGAACCCGGGACCCCAAAATTTTTTCCCAAAGCGGAAATGATACCCTTAGACCAACGAACCACATGTTCTACCCAGTGCGTGTTTGTGTTGCATCCAATGTTAAACATCGTAGTAAATAATATGTGCCCGAATTTAAAAAAAAGTACGGGCTCGTCCGGGATTTGAAACCGGGACCTCCCGCACCCTAAGCGGAAATCATACCCCTAGACCAACGCGCCACGCGGTATACTCAATAAAGACATTTTACACATGAGTTGCCACTTACGTTTATTATCTAAGCCAAAATCATACCTCTAGACCAACTAGCCACGGGTTCTATCCAGTGCGTGTTTGTGTTGCATCCAATGTACAACATTATAGTAAATAACATATTCTCGATCCAATATATATTATTGTAGTAAATAATATGCGCTCGTATTTAAAGAAATGTCCGGGCTCGTCCGGGATTTGAACCCGAAACCTCCCGCACCCTAAGCGGAAATCATATCCCTAGACCAACAAGCCACGCGGTATACTCAATAAACACATTTTACATATGATTTGCCACTTATATTTATTATCTAAGCCAAAATCATACCCTTAGACCAACTAGCCACGGGTTCTGTCCAGTGCGTATTTGTGCTGCATCCAATGTACAACATTGTAGTAAATAATATATGTATAAATGTATATCGATCCAATATACATTATTGTAGTAAATAATATGTAGACCAACGAGCCGCCGGTTTCACCCAGTGCGTGTTTGTGTTGGATACACTGTACAACATTGTAGTGAATAATATATTTTCGATCCAATATACAAAATTGTAGTAAATAATATGTACTTGAATTTAAAGAAATCCGGGACCTCCCGCACCCTAAGCGGAAATCATACCCCAAGACCAGCGGGCCACGCGGTCTACTCAATAAACCTCTATACCAACGAGCCACGGGTAATACCCAGTGCGTGTTTGTGTTGGATCCAATGTACAACATTGTAGTAAATAATAGGCACTCGAATTTAAAGAAATGTCAGGGCTCGTCCGGGATTTGAACCCGGGACCTCCCGCACCCGAAGCGGGAATGATACCCCTAGACCAACGAGCCACGGGTTGTACCCACTGCGTATTTGTGTTGCATCCAATGTACAACATGCCACGGGTTCTACTCAATAAACACATTTTACACATGATTTGCCACTTACGTTTAATATCTAAGCCGAAATCATAACCCTAGACCAACAAACCACGGGTTTTATCCAGTGCATGTTTGTGTTGGAACCAATGTACAACATTGTTGTGAATAATATGTTCTCGATCCAATATACAATACTGTAGTAAATAATATGTGCTCGAATTTAAAGAAATGTCCGGGCTCGTGTAAACTACATATTGATGAATAATATAATCATCAAATACTATTGGGTATAAACAATATGCATTGAATATTCCAGAGTATAAATAATAACTACTTTACGCCCCCGGGTGGGCTCGAACCACAACCTTCGCTTAACAGCCGAACGCGCTAGCCAATTGCGCCACGGAGGCTG